TAACGTGTACTGATGCATATTTACATGTTTAGAAGTATTCATTTTAAGTGATCCCAGGATAGAATTTGTATTGGCTCAAGAATAAGCCTGTCTCTTATACACATCTAGATGTGTATAAGAGACAGATCAACAGTTGCAGATCCAGGAATTCGAACACGGCTCCCCCCTGGATACGTCCCTGTTTGTAAGGCTGTTGTATTCGCATACAGCTTAGTATTCTTATTCTCTAAATTTATCTTATAGTAGAGTCTTGTAAGTCTTGAATTGTTAACATTGTTTAAACTTGCAACTGAATTTTGTGTGCTTGTGCATCAGCAAATAATAACATGATCAAAGTTTGCAATATTGTCTGTTTTATCACTTGCCAAAACAGATAGTCTCGCTTTTCCCGTCGTGGCTCTGAGATATGGCAGGATGAGCTTTAGTCATGTAGTCATTCAGCGCCCCCTCAAACCTGGCGCCCGGAGCACGTGCCCCACCCCCATTACCCCATACCCTAGCTACGCCACTGCGCTTAGGACCACGGATAACTTACGTGATCTTCATATCAGGGGGGTCTCCTTCACTGACGTCCAGCTCTTGCATGATTTCCGCTCTCCTTGTATCCTTCATTACCACCAATATAATTTCGTACAACATATCCCAGTACATACCAGTTGTGTTAAATGTCATTGTTGCCGTGGTGAAATTCAAAATGCCTAATGAATATTACAGAAAAACTAATCAATCAATCAATCAATCAGTCATTAATTAAATCAGTAATCAATCAGTCGATCGATCTACCACTACCACTACTACGAACGCTACCACTACTACACCACCACTACCACTACTTCTGCTTCTACTACCACCACCACCACCACTATCACTACTACTACTATCACTACTACTACTATCACTACTACTACTATCACCACTACTACTACTATCACCACTACTACTACTATCACCACTACTACTACTGCAGCTACAGCTACTACTACTACTGCAGCTACAGCTACTGCTACTACTACTGCAGCTACTGCTACTACTACTGCAGCTACTACTACTGCAGCTACTGCTACTACTACTGCAGCTACTGCTACTACTACTGCAGCTACTGCTACTACTACTGCAGCTACTGCTACTACTACTGCAGCTACTGCTACTACTACTGCAGCTACTGCTACTACTACTGCAACTACTGCTGCAGCTACTGCAACTACTACTACTGCAACTACTACTACTGCTACTACTGCTGCTACTACTGCTACTACTACTACTACTGCAGCTACTACTACTACTGCAGCTACTACTACTATCACCACTACTACTACTATCACCACTACTACTACTATCACCACTACTACTACTGCAGCTACAGCTACTACTACTACTGCAGCTACAGCTACTACTACTACTGCAGCTACAGCTACTACTACTACTGCAGCTACAGCTACTACTACTACTACTACTGCAGCTACTACTGCAGCTACTACTACTACTACTACTGCAGCTACTACTGCAGCTACTACTACTACTGCAGCTACTACTGCAGCTACTACTACTACTGCAGCTACTGCTACTACTACTACTGCTACTGCTACTGCTACTACTACTACTACTATACAACTACTGCAACTACCACCATTACCACCACCACCACATTTTCTACTACTACCACCACCACCACCACCACATTTTCTACTTAATGATACTATATTAACATAAGTATCATGACTTACCACCGGGACTTGGACTGCCTTCTTGATTGTAGCGACCGAAGCAGCCACCAACATCTTCAGGGTCTCTTTTAGGGTCAAATTCAGGGTTGATTTCCGACTCTTCTTCTAATGTTGTATAATCACTATTCCATACTTGAAATGTTTCTAGATTCTCGATACGTGGAATACTCTCGTTGCGTGGTTTATACGTCTTGCGCCGACACATCCAAATAAATCTCATACCAGATTGATCATCCATACTTTTATCAGGGTCGTAGGTTAACAGTGAAGCATCTACAGTAATAGTTTGATCCCATGGGATGATACGAATTTCACCGCCGTCAATCCCAATCTTCAACGGAGATGGTACAACGACTAAGGTCGTAGAATCAATAGCCCAAAGCCCTATTTCGCCAAACATTGAAACATTCAATTCGAATCTGTATGTCCCATACTCAAGTGCTGTTGGTTCCAAAATTAATAGACGCGATCCTCCTTTAACTAGATCAGGTGACAGCGGATATTCTTCTTCGTAAGATCCCCTTCTACTATTAAATTGCTTGTAGGCGGTCCATGTGTAATTAGCAATCTTTGTTGATTTGCAGTCAATGGCGATACTGGATGAAACAGTAATTTTCATAGATGCTCTGTATTCTCTATACTCAGTATTTTGGTAGCACGGGTAGTTGGTGTTGCAACGATTCTCTGATGAAACATTGACCTCCGGTGTGAAGCAAGGCGCATTTGTTACTACGTGAAAAACATTTAGTTCTTTCCGGGATACGTAATTATGAACAATAAATTTCAGATTATATCCACCTGTTGTCATGAACTTGTTTTCTAAAACGATATCAGTTTTGGGATCATCATTTCTCTCGAATTTCTGCTCCCAAATATCCAAAGAGTCGAGTGATGTAAATCGTAGGAAAATACTGTTGAAGTCCTCTTTGTACTCATCCTCACATACAGAGCGAGTTCCGTAGAATTCTATCCAGTGACTTTCAGAACTTTCATCAATGTAGTTGATGTAATAGCATGCATCAGTTGGAACTGAACCCAGTTGAAGATCAAAATAAGCTGTATAATTTTTGGGCATCGGGCCCCTATCAACTAAATAAGTTTCGGTTGTCGATGCCTGTACTACAATTTTTGATTGCACAGTCTGATAATGTACTGGATTAGAAGCGTTTAATGTTACAATGTATTCACCTGGTTTGCTATACCAATAGTAACCTCTTGGCTCACGTGTTGTTACGATGGATTCGACAGCTGGCTTTGTAAAATCGCCAAAATCCCACACATAAGTTATTTCAGTGCCGGTTACAAAGTCGGCAGTCATGACAGTAGCGCGTTCTAACGGTACGTACATTTTGTTCACAAATGCAAAGAAATCTTGATCGAATGTGGCATTATTAGCGGCTGCTCCGCTTAAAGAAACCCAGTTGAACTTTACATAATCTTCTAACTCTGTGATCTCTTCAAATATCCATATTTGTTTGGTGTATGTTTCATTCGAAACAAGGTTCCATACTATATATTTTACATCGTACAATTTGGCCACTACATAAGTCTGAGAAAAAGATATAATGTTTGTGTGTGTATCACTGTTGAGTGATGAATCCTGAAAGTTTTCCATGCCCGAGTCTAATGTACAACCCTCTTGACAGTAAACCGAGTTGCCTAAATCAATGGTATAGAATGCATCGGTAGGATGCGGTACGCTGTTCTCTCTATACAAATTGATAGGTACTTCAATGTACATTAGCTCGGTTTCTAATTTGTTCAAATATCGTGCCCCAACTAAAAAGTTAGTTACCGGATGTTGTATTATGACGTCAGTGGTCATAACATAACTGGATGATGACACTGCGTTTGTGGCTGTCACTGATATGCGATAGAACCCAGGCTCACTGTAGCTATGGGTGATAGTAATGTTATCTTGAGGATTTATGGTATGGGTAAAGCTATCGCCAAAATCGGTGATTTCATATGTTATGCGTGAGCCACAGTCAACTAAGAAATCCAGCACAGCTGGTTCATCTACTTTCCAGTGTGGTATCTTCGGCTGTATTCGCAGACCATTAATAACTTCCTCAATTTCGAGATGGAACGAGAAAGTAAATTCACTGACAAGATTATGGACAGAAACATGAACTTCAAATGAACCCCACTGTGAGATGTTGAGCTTTTGGATGAATTCCTCATTTACGTTAACCACAACCAAATCGACAGTTATATTAAACGAGGAATCCCCAGTGAAATTATACACTGCTATAGCATCAGTTGGTTTTCTATTGGAAGCGCCAGCAAACACGTATGCAACGTCCAAAACTCCAGGATCTGGACATATTATTTCAACCAGTTCTTCATGGGTTTCGCTCATAAGAGTCACCTCGTTTTGAACTATGACCGTTATGTCTATAGAGTCATTGCTGACATCATTCACGCATTCAATGGTGATGGTGTAAGTAGCTGGGTCACGGTAAGTATGTGGGACAGTCGATTCATGATTACCTCGAAGCATTACTGGCTCGTGACGTGTATAAACATTTCCGTCTCCCATGTCTATTGTGCAGTTCATATCAGAACCACGTTCTACATCATAGTATACAGACATTTCATAATCAGTCTTTATATATGGCTCAGAAACAGATATGTTAAGGTCTGTTACCATATATTGCACACGGATAACCACAGAAGACTCGTATGGACCGCTGATAAGGTTTTCCGTAGTTACAATAAGATCATGGTCTCCTATTTCAGAATACAAATTACTGGGGACATTAACAAGTCCAAGGTGGGTAGTTGGGTTGTAACTAAATACCGACTGATTTAGAGCGACTCCATCAAATATTCCCTCGAACTGTGGGTCAGTAGAGAGGTCAGTGTGAATGACGACCAGTAAGTTATTGCCAATCGGGAACGGAGCTGGTTGAACAAGATGATAAAATGTAATGTACTCTTGGTATATAACCTCGTCGACTAAAGTCAATCTATTAATGTTATTGTAGGCATCTATACTTATCGGTACCTCCATGGCTTCGTGGGCTGTGAACCTGATCTGTCCTTTACCTGTAAGAATTGAAATACATATTAACCATAAGCATTACTTCATAAAAATAAATAATAGATAACAGTAATATTATAAAGATAATTATTGTTATTATTACTTTCATTATCATCGATGATAGTATGGTTAGCATTATATTTTACCCACCCTGTTGGCCTAGCACTTCAAATGACAATGTTGGTGCACTGGTCCACTCTCCCATATGTAGCCGTACAAATCTTGCTAGAACTTCTTCTGAAAACATTATTAATCGCGCGTTGGAATCTGATAATCCAGTGAAATTCTGTCAGTGAGAACAAATTTGTGGTAATTATCAAAATGTTTACAGTACGAATTAATGATTAAATGAAATAGAATGAATCCTGAAGTAGATGACTCTCCGCCAGGGACGTATCGGAGGGGGGGGGGCGGGGGCGTGGGAGCTGCGACAAATTCTTTCATGGGTTTACTCAAAATGATCTCTATGGTTGTCGAAAATCCCTGATAAACGATCAAGAGAAATTTGTTGACGCTTTATGTTGAATATAAGAATGGTGATGTGATGATGTCGGTTATAATCCCTGGTGGAGGTTTTAGAAGCGGCAACAATAAGGTACAAGGTATGAAGAGTTTTACTATATAAATGTGTCATTTCCGTCCATCTAGAGGCGTACTAATTCATCAAATTTACTCACTTCAGCCCCAACTATGTCAAAGCTGATGGAGTACATACGTCAAAGACAATATTTTTAAACTTTATTTATGGTACATCACAAATATAAATAAGATTTCTGTGGTTGCCGAAAATCCCTGATAAAAGATCATGAGAAATTTGTTGGTGCTTTATTTGGACTATAATAATAATAATAATAATAATAATAATAATAATAATAATAATAATAATAATAATAATAAAAATAATAATAGATGGGTTTGTATAGCGTAAATAAACGAGGTATCTATGCGTCGACAATATTGTAGACAAGAAAACAAAAAAAAAGCCAGAGGAAAAAAAAAACAAAACAAAACAAAATAATAAACACCAAGCTAGTGCCCAAACCGAAGTATGGGGGTTACACCATCACCGCCAACCGGAGATATGTGTTTATATACTACGGTTAGCATCGGTGAAGTTTTGATCTTTTCTGGGATCAGGTGCCTCCTAACCTGGACTAAACAACAATAGCTAGCGAGGTGAAATAGAGAATTTGAAAAAAAGAGTAAAAAGGTGGTTAAAAAGAGGCAAATTAGAAAGGTTTTGAGTCACTTCTTAAAGATTTCAATTGATGCAGATTCAACGGACTTCAACGGGTAGTGCTTTCCACATTTTTTGAAGCCGGAACATGACATGATCTCTCACCATATGTTTTGGAACGGCACCCAGGAACAAACAAAGTTGATGAATTTGTGGTTGATCTGAGTGCTCGGGAAGAAGTTGATGAGCGTAGTCTGAGAAATCTTGCATGTACGTGGGTGATATGGTATGGAGCAATTTGTACACAAGAAAAAGAATTTTGAAGTTGATACGCTGTTTGAATATTGGCGTGATTCTCTGTGACTTTGGAGTGAGCTTAATTAGACGTGCGACCGAGTTAAGATGAAGTTGTATTTTTTTTTTTTTATAAGAGTGTGACTTTGGAGTGAGATTAATTAGACGTGCGGCCGAGTTAAGATGAAGTTGTAATTTTTTTTATAAGAGTGTCTGGAAGTCAAAATACGATACCGCTTCAATAGTCAAGTCTTTAATTTATAAGAGCATGAAGTTTTTTAGTTGCGTGTTCCTTCAGGAAGCGTCTGATTTGCCTAATATTACGGATGTGATCATTGACAGATTCATAAACGTTGGTAACATGTTGCTTTAGAGACATCGTATTGTAAAAAGTAACTCCAACATTACGGACTTCGAGTGATGGAGTGACCATTGTATTACCAACGCGGAGATACTGCAGATTGGGTGAGTTGGAACGATGCCTAGAGTGTATGACGAGAGTTTCATTCTTTCAAGGATTAAAACAAAGCATATTTGTAGATAGCCAAGTTTGCATTTCATCAAGACAAGCTTCAACACGATCAACTGCATCGTCCATCGCATCAGGTTTAAAGCCGAGGTACAACTGCATATCATCAGCGTAAACATGATAACGGCATAAATGCTTGCTAATGATATTGCTGTAAATGATAAAGATGTAAATGGTGAAGAGGACAAGAACCAGAGTTGATCCCTGTGAGACGCCACATTCCAAGAAAACAGGATCAGAAATAGACGATTTAATTTTAACACATTGCATCGTAATACCGTAATTTCACTGTTCCCTGGTAATACTAAATACGAATGAAACCAATTGAGTGCATAACCAGAGATACCAATGTCAATTACGCGATTAAGGAGAATAGTATGAATACTGAATACTGAAATAATTTATTGTATAACAAAAAGAAGAAAATGCATTGCAAAACTGGCAAAAATTTAAAATAACAGCACTGAATATTAAAATATGAAATTATAAATATTTAATGTGTACAAGAAAAATCCAAATTTGATACAAAATGCATATAAGAAGAGCAATACTTTAAAAAAACCGTATCATTTAGCTGAACAAAAATTTAAAATCGCAAGAGCACAGAAAATTTAAATTATTATTACTATTATTATCATTATCATTATCATTATCATTATCATTATCATTATCATTATTATTATTATTGTTATTATTATTATTATCACCATTATTACAGTACAATTATAATTATTATTATTTTATTTTATTATTATTGTAAAAGGTATAAACATTTTAATATAATAATATGTACAAAAGAAATCAAATTGATATACAGTACAAAACAATACATTAAGAAGTAATACCGTACGTTATAATTATCAATTATTATCATTTAACTGAATTAACATTTAAAATCACGAAGGCTCTGAAAATTAAAAATTTTATTATTGTATTATTATTAATATTATTGTCACTATAAAAATAAAAAGTTTAAATAAATTAATATGTACAAGAGAAATCAAATGTATATACAAGATACATATAAAAAAATACAGTACATTAACAAGAATACTTTGTAATTATTATAAATTCTGGAGGTATAACATAATTATTTAAATAATTATTTCATACCTCTACCAGTGATTGTACTGAAGCGAACGCTACCATACAACTATCTTTTGGCCCGAGAATTAAATAGGTGTGTATGGAATTGGCTACAATTGCCAATTTCTAGTAATGCGATCTAACATATGTTTTTCTTTTTAAAGAAATTGCCATAGTTGCAAATCAGAGAGTATGTTAACACACTTTGGATCAAGGAGGTATAAAATAGATTTATAATTGTAGCATTATCAATAGTATGATCAATAGTGTCAAATGCAGCAGACATGTCTAAATATACCGATAAAACACATTCACCTGAATCTAGAGCATGCATAATGTCATTATGGACTTTTAGTATGGCGGTTTCTGTACAAAAAAAAACTTTCTGTATGCTGACATGAATTGGTCATTACAACCTTCTCGAATATTTTGAAAGTAAATGGAATGCAGGTTATAGGTCGGAAATTAGAAAATTCAGTGTGGTCAATCTAAAGTTTCTTCAAAATAGGTGATACCAAGCCAAGCTTCAGTGTCTCATGAAATAAGCCAGATGACCGGGAGGAGGTACAGTAATGAGTTTCCGAAAGAGACTAATCATAGTAGAGACTAAATTCTTAGTCGGTCACAGGTTTTAGTACCCATGGACTTGAAAATGTCAATAACATATTGTTCAATAAGTTAAAACTCTCAAACACGAAAGCTGTAGAGCAGGAGAATAAGTGGGAAGCCCAATGCTCGGCGGTGACTCACCTGGTGTGATTCTATACGCAGACGCTTAACCTTTTCAATAAAATGTCAAACCCCCAACTAAAATTACAGTACAGTATATTCAAATTGAAGACTGAGAGTGTACTTTCCGGCCATATAGAGGTGCCCTAATCATAAATTTTCATACCTCAGCCCTAACCATGATCGGGCTGAGGTGTGTGGACCTGCACTCTGTGAAAGTCCCTCCCTCGGTCACCTCTCTTTCGAATCCCTGGACCCGCCACTTTTGAGTTATTATTATACTTATTGTTAGGCGTACGCATATTATTTATGATGCGTCTATTGCAATTTCACTCTTATCCTCTCAAAACAGTCCTAAAACGTTCACAATCCGCTGCCTCCTAAGGGGCTTCCACCCATGGACCCTGCTGGGGTCCTTGGCGTACCCCAGCCATAGAAAGGAGAACACCCCACCCCTGCTTGGTACTACGTAAACTTGCATAACTGTTTCCCCCCCCCCCCCGTCATTTAAAATCCTGGCACGTCCCTGCTCTCCGTTACATATTTGTTAATATATTATTTACCGACTAGTCGATTGGCCGAGCGGTTAAGGCAGGGCGCCGTAACCTACATCCATACAATGGACGCTGGTCAGTGGCGTACATATGGGCAGTGCAGCCAGTACAAAGCACATAAATAGGCCTAAAAGTAAGTAAAAATATCTTTTTTTTTTATATTTAAAAAAAAAAACGCCAGTGGACCCTTAATAATATTTAGATTTTTAGAGGATAGTTGATTACTGTGTTCATTTCGATTGTTACGTGCCACTATGACCTTAAGAGTAAGGGTAAAAAGAATAGAATCACTTCTTACCATGAATTTTCTGAAAACGTGAATCAGTATATACATAGTCCTAGAATTTTCAATCTTTAAATTCAAAATACAGCTCATGAAAATGTGACGAAGGTAGGCTCTAAGATGCTTAAATATTCTTCATGGTCCTTTGAACCAGATTGAATGTAAAAACGCCATGACGAACTTTCTTGTGTTTCATGTGTCAGCATTGATGTTGAATTTTTGTAGGCCATCTTTGACACAGTTTTTCCATCTCTTTCGGTATTCCGGTGCTATGAGTGCAATCAACATGCTCACTAACCATGACTTACTTGGGTTGTCTGCGGTCACGCATCATAAGGTTGATATGACCCACTAACCATGACTTGCTTGGGTAGTCTGCAGTCACGCATCATAAGGTTGATATGACCTGCCCTTCGTAGCCTGTTGTAATTTATCATAGTTTCAATGTTCGTGGGATCAGCAGTTTCCAGCACCTTTGTAGTTGATATTTTCATCCACCACCTAATGTTGAAAATTTGACGTAGAAATCTCTGGTGATACACTTCAAGACGGTGGATATGTTTGGATAGTGTTGCCCACGTTGTAGAAGCGGTTTGGCACAGCAGGAACGATTTGGTTTCCCAACCTCGAGGTTTCAATTCTTTGCTGTGTATTTCGCTTGTGTCCCAGAACAAGGCAACTCTATCTACATTGCTTCTCACCACCCAGGAGTCTGAATGGGTACCTGGTGGGGTTGCCTGCTCCTGTGCTGATTACCAGCAGCAACACAAAAAGCATGTTCACCCAATGATCAGGGAAAAGAATTGCGCTTTATAACCACAAGGAAGAGGCGCATTATAAATGTCCGTACCAGTACCCAGTACTTCTATAAAGGAGGCATGGTAAAATAACAGTTTTGTACACTGCCATTTTGGTGCCAGAGTGATGTAATTCCTGTTCCATAATCTATTATGCAGGGATTTAAATGCAGCACATGCCCTAGAGATTCGCCAACTGACTTCCTTTTCGAGGTTTGCATCAGCTGCTATTACGCTACCAAGGTACACAAAAGAGTCTGTTTTACAGGTCGTTCAGGGTTAAGGGTGAAGGAGCCTGGCAGAGTAGATGTAGTGTTCTGTATAAGTTCCCAGTCGTTGCAGGCTTGCTGCAAGCAGTTGATTGTACTTTGGAGTGCACTTGTTAAAGGTGCAACAAAACCTGCATTGGTATACAGAAATTCCTTTGGTATAACGAGTATGTAGACGTTTAAGGTTGAACAGTTTGCCATCCAGCCTGTGTCGGATGTTGATACCAATGTTAGTGTCAATTGATGCAGCTTGTTTTTGTTTTGTTTTAACCGTAATTAAAGAAAAGAATGAACAAAAAGGGAGCATATATACATCATTGGCAGCGACAATTGATGTCTTCAAAGGCTTCAGTCATCATCTACAATGACCTATGCCCACATACCTTCATGGAAACCTTTGATAAGAATGACGATCTTTGCTGGTATGCAAATTTCTTTAAAAAGAGCCCACATAATTGACCTGTTCACAGTGTTAAAGGCTTTGACAAGGTCAGTGAACACTATGTAAAAATCCTGATGCTGTTCTCAAATTTTCTCTTGAAGCTGTGTCAGTGCGAACATCATGGTAGATCGACCTGTTCGGAAACTGCATTGCATCTCAGGCAACTCTTCTTCAATGGTATTCCAATTTCTGATTTTAGTAAAAAAAAATTTCAAGTTGTTGACAATAGTCCTTTGTAATTTCCACTGGTAAATCTCCATTTTTTTTAAAAATCTTATGTATGTAGCCATCTTTATAATCTTGTGGTATTTCCTCTGAGCGCCAGATGCTTATAACGAGACTGAGCAGGGCTTCGTGAAGATTTGGTCCACCATTCTTAAGAATCTGGTTTGGGATGTAGCTTGGGCCTTGAGCATTTTCTGCTGTTAGTTGTTCCAGTAGGGTTTATTTTTCATATCATCGATTGTGGTTCAACAAGCTCATCTATTATCTCGGCTTGAAGAATATTTCTTTCAACTTGCTGTGATGTCAGCTCTTGCAGTTAGGCGAGTGCCATCTGAAGCATTTATTGAACTGATTAATGATATTTTGTGATTTTGTATAAGTTTTATAGCTTCAAAGGAGTTTACTTGCATCTTTAAGTTCAGAGTTGGTTTCCATTACCATATATTTTCCATGTGTTTGTACTCGCGTTTGGCATTTATTTCAGGTAGCTGTGTAGATATTCTTATTTCATTGTGAGGGCGTGCGTCGTATTGGTAAGTTTGTAAAAACGTCCACTGAAAAGGACATTCAATTTTAAAATTGAGAATTTTTTCATAAAAAATAGTGAAAACATATCGACGGAATCGTAAAGAATTAGAATATGTACTCATGGAGGAAAGTGTATAAAGAGAAGTGTGTTATGAACGTGTACACTTTGTGTTAATCCGAGACGTAGAACAGAAACCAGGACTAATAAATAAAACCCGACAAGGGCTAGCAGAAAAGATACACCCGATATTTGCGGCAGAAATTTGTCGAAATTGTGTCCGACCTTTCTGACAGAGGGTTTTGAACCAAGGCTACGACGAAGCCTCGGTCAACGGCCCGGAATAAAAAAAAATCCCTGGTCGTTCCTCAGACGACAGGGGGTCCAGGCCTGCCCGACTGGTGGGCAAATGCCTAACTGCCCATCCCTCTGGCGCCACCACTGGATACAATCACTTTAAGCTTCATCACAGACCAGCTGAAACAAATGATGCGCGAATTTAATACAAGCATACAAAAACAATAAACGTGAGTATATCAGAACTAAACAAGTAATTGAGAGCTGGGGAGAGGAATGCGGGCAGATGGTTTTAAAAAAAAACATGTAAAAAAAATAGGAATATACAACGAGATAGTCCTACATATCGAAAGATCTCATACACTAAATATCCATAACCAGACCTAGGCCTGTGATTATAAGACTTAACAGTTACAAATAGAAGGAATATGCACTGAACAAGGCGAGATACGACGCTAAGAAGAGAGAAGTAGGTGAAAAAACAACGAAGTGAAGAATCTACAGAAAAACACACTGGGATAAGATATATCAGAAAGGAATTAATAGCATTCATTCAACTCAAATACGACAAAGCATATATCGATGGGCAGATTTTTACGTATAACATTGAAACTAAAGAAATTATAAAAACTAACCATATTTTTTATGTTAAATTATTAACAATACTCACATAATGGTAGTGAAATATGGGGTACTTCTAGTATTCTTTCTATTGAAAGAATTTACGACAAATTATGTATTTAGAGTTAGTAAGAACTCTCTCTCTCAATTACATGCCTCAAAGCAATTGGTCACGCATTCTTTCAATGGATCAAAAGAGATATGTTTTTAAGTGTTATAAATTGTAACTGAGAAAAACTGACAGAAACGAAAAGTGTTGGGCTCAAACAATAAGACAATTGAATGTTGTTGGTTTTCGTTACGTGTGGAGAAATCAACACGTTTACAATAAAAATAAATTTCTCAGTTTGGTTTACATTTGACAGATATTGAAAAAAAAAATCTTTCGAAATAATGAAAACACACACAAGTTAAATTATTACAGTTCATTAAAAAGAATTATCCAAATTGGCAATTACTTATCAAGCATTCAGAATTTTAGTTATAAGAAATGTTATACAAACTACGGTTAGGTATTTTAGATTTGGAAATTGAGAGAGGGAGATGGTATACAATCAAGATGGAGCGTTTTTGTAAATCATGTTGCGATACAAAGTTTGAAGATGAATATAATTTTATATTAGAATGTTAATTTTATGTAGAACTCAGAAAAGAATTTATTCCAGTATTTTATTTTACCGCTCCATCAAAAAGAAAAGATTATTTTGTTAATATCATCAGATTCCCTTATTTATTTCCATAAATATTATTATACATATTACGCTAAAAGGAGACCTAAAATACTACCATGGCACTTCTTCAACCTTGGGTGTTGCCATGTTCTCTTGCGTATATCCGGATGTGTGAACAAGGTGTTAGTGATCAGGAGCCCAAAGCGAGAACAAAGGTCAAGAAGCAGGTTTCTTTGTGTATTACATTGTCCAAGTCATGGGGTCCGATGACAATGGGCCAGGTCTCTGTGTCTGTTCCAACAGGGGCATTAAAATTACCCAAGAGGAAGAGCCTGTTATTTTCTTGTTGAGAACTATAACCACTCCTTCAGGCTTCACCATTTTTGTTTAGGTCTGCAAGAACATACACTTGCCCTCATCAAAATCTCCCTGTTCAGGTATACGGCATTCGCTTAGGCATACTTTGTCAATGTTGAGACGCTCAAGTGCAGATCGTCTTTCAGCAACTTGTCAAAATGACTGCTTTACACTATCTGTGGGAGTTTTAAACTTGCCATTTAGCGAGGAGCATTTCCATGTCTATCAGGCGGGTTTAAATTATGCTAGGTTTGGGGTGCTAACCCTTCCCAGTATGTGAGTAGGCTGCCCTATTGCGTACTCACGTTCTGCAACTGGAAATACCAGAGAGTGGAGTCAAGGAACACACAAATCATCTCCAGCAGTCCAATCACAGCCGGTCATGGTTGAAAGGACGAGAGGGCTGACCTTATCATGGACTGGTCCAGACAGTTTTGGCCGTTGAAAAACTAGATCCTCTTTCGCCCTAATGAGAACCCTTAGTGTGGGTTATTTCATGGTGTCCCTATCCCTCTAAGTTGAACGATTTAAATACTATTAAGTACTATACCACATTATTTAGTTGGCTTATGCTAGGCTAAACTTATTTTATAAACAAATATAGGTAAAGTATTTTTCCACAATTTGCTTAAATAGTACATTATACAGTACCTATAAAATCTAGAATCCAATAAACGTTCTGCAGGTTGTAAGTATCAAAAAGAGATTGTGATATTCGATCATACAGCAAGTTTAATTTGCGAAAGGCATGAAGAGTAAGAAACAATACAATGTGAGAAAGAAAATAAGACACTAAGTAAGTAGCGCATGTTGCCACGATATAGACCCAAATTAGTAAAATGAACGCCATATCTCAATGGAACTGTAAAAAATATAAACATAACATTATTTCTCAAAACTTATTACGCAATAACATTACGAAATATCATATTATACTTACCAAAGGTCTATCATTTATGTCAGCAAAGAACTTCCAATTGAAGGCATCGTCACTGTAGCTGCATTGGAACTCTGTCACCATGCCCCCACTACCAACGGGCAGCAGTTTAACACCAGTAACGATGGTTACAAAAAAGAGATCAACATATATCCATGGCTGGGGATCATCAGTTAATGGCTCCCATATGTAGCTAGAAAAACTTCCACTCGAGTAGTGAAATGACTCCGTAGGATACTCAGTAATACCTACTGTTTCAATCCCAACCATAGGTACTGGATATTGGACAAAATCAAAAGAATGTTGATCAAAATTGTTGGCAGGACTTTGGAAATAATTATACGAACTCTTGTCAATGTAAATATATAATTTGAAAAATACACCTAAAAGAATATTAGATTGAGTCAAGGAAACAATTTTGCCATTCACCAACAGTTGCATGTAAATAGAATTTCATTAACTGGTTTAAATTTTAATTAAATAACAAGATGAGTTGCATGGCTTTGATTACCGTTTGTTATTTTGTCCCTCTTTTCTAGGTCTATGTATATGTAAGTGTAGAATGAATTAACAAAAAAATTTGAATTGACTAAAAATAAACTAAAAAAAAAAATAAAATTCAAAAGTTCTTTGTGTAGACCTATATTTAAGTTATTAGTTTTCGGTTAGAAATAACTTTTTTCACGCAAATACTAAAGTTCAGACTATCAAATATATGACAAAAATGGTATATGCCTATATATAGTCATGGTGTGCCTATATGGTCATGATTTATGTCATCATGACCATCTAGTACGTCACATGTTTTTTTTTTTAAAACATAATTTGATAGTCTGGACAGGGATTTAGACTACCGTATACCAAAGAGGGCTTACTGTCTTGATTTTGCATGCACGCAATGAAACCAAAAATACTAGAAACACAAGATAAAATTTTCCACAGAATGTAAAAACTTCTGCCAAACTTACATAAACCGTAATGATGAATACACATAAACTGCTTTGCAAACCAAAAGAATAAAATGACGGGACTCTGATTAGTGAAGATGTTTTTATCATTAGCGGAAACAGAAGAGTGTCTCATACTCTTGATTTACTTAGCAAAAGGCTGGACCAAGAATAAACAACCTTGCGTTGACTGGTCTTTTTCGTTAAACCACACCTACCTGCGCAGTGGTAAAATCCTACTTAACGAAGACGACCAGCCGAATAGAAAACTTTTAAATACGTACGCGACAATGGCTGCATATTTAACAGTGATACACACTGCGTAATCAAAATTGCTTTGGCCTGTAGCAGTATGGGTTTTTCTGACCAATCAGCCATGTTTGTTTTGGTCACTCTGGCTACGTTAATTTTCGTTGTCTATTTTACGAACCAGTTGAATGAAAATAATACTCACCAAAAAATTGTAATCAACGAAATGAACCAGTTGAATGAGGCCTTTAATAAAAGAGAAGGTGTCGCATACGTCTGGACAAATTTCCGCCTCATTTTTGCTATGCGAATGATCTATCTTGTGTTTCTAGTATCTTTGATGAAACGTAAAAGTACTACCACCTGATATGGGTCCCCTTATTATAATTCGAATAGTGTACGCAATTAGAACAGTTTTTTTTCTCAGCTGCGCACGTTCGTTACGAACGACATTTATGTATACCGTTTTTTTAAAAGATGTCCTCTAGTTCGTAATAAAGCTATTCGAGATAGGCTTCTGTACCACCGATAGTCGGATATCTTGCCATTTTGCACTGTCTGCATATTTGCAGAAAAGCCATTTCATATTCAATTTAGGTAATTTCGTAATTTAAAAAAAAAACACGATGATCTGTGTCTTAATACAAGATAAGTATATAATTGATCTTTATTTTAGCAATTAAAAGTTTTTATTACATTTTTATAAATTATAATATAGAAAATGTACCTTTAAATTTTTTTTATCTTCGTATTATCCGTAGGCTGATTTTGTATTTTCAGAATTGTTTAGGCATAGGCCTATGTTCTATAACTTTAAGAATGGCTGCATGGGTATATATAATGTCAGACAACATTTTATCATAGCATCAGACCTCACTGAGACACTCCACCTCGTAATTTGTGATTGCACTCAGAGGCCACACCAGGAATTGCCAGGCGGGGTCCGATGTCTCCGCTTGTGGAAGGAGGGGTGGCAAGTCAGTCACCCAATGAAATCGTCAAAACAAAATCATAAGTAGGAGTGGTCAAGCGTCGCTCAAAACATCTCATATTGGTCAGGAGGGCAAATCCCATGGAACCTATGACAATTTATGGATTCAAAGGCTTGTATTCAATTTTAGAGTCTAACATGTAAGAAGTACATACACTTATTTTTCTCCCCGATGAATTGTGTTGTTTCTCGCTAATGGGGTCCAGCTTTCCGCGACGCCTGACTCCAAGTCCCCTATGGCACCATGCACCCTTTATTGCAATTTTTGTTGTTTTAAAAAGAAATAAACATACCCTTTGTTCCTACAACACTATAGCGTAATCCAATGGAGCTAGACCAAGTTAATATTTGGACTCGTAGATTTCGAGCAAGTACAGGATATGGAAATATTGTCCTTACTTTTGTGTTAGAATCACTGTTCCCATTAAAAACCTACAAAGAAAAATACATTTATAAATTAGGTATATTAGGACAAAATAATTAACTTTATTAACGGACGCATCCAAATTGTCTGTCTAATATTTCAAAAGTTTCCTATGGTTTTGCATTGTTTTGTAGCAAAACCAAATCTCAGATAAATATAACTCCGATTTTTTTTTTGAACCAGAGGCGGATCCCCGATTTTAAGTTAGGAGGCTATCAGACGTCTACATGTCTACCCTTGGTGTCCGTGGTCGATAGCGAGAGTTTGCAAGTTCAAATCCCGCCAGAGACTTTGTTTCATACAGCTAAATAATGTAACAATACTTTCCTTGAAAGGCTATGTTTAATACGATTATACCATCTTGTTCCTACTAGAGCACTGTTATTATTATGTATTCATTTGTTTGTATCAAACACTATAGATGTTTTGAATCAGCACGTGGTTCATAAATTAATATTTTTGAGAGGTCATTAATAAAAGTTTTACCAGGCCATTATTTCACAGACATTACAAACATACATGTAAGTTAAAAAAATTGGAAGGGGAGGGGGAGGGGTTTAAGCCTAGCTGTTTAGCCTCTCTTTAAACCCACCTCTGTTAACGTCATTGTTAACTAGAATATACCGTACTAAATATTAAAATGTATGTTGAACATTTTTCTTCCTTGCATAATACAACTCCATATTTCAAGCGCCCTGAGCATCTTACATTAGATGGATTTGTGCGCTATATAAAACTACCCTATTATTATTATTATTATTATTATATATTACAATGAACAAAACAAGTAAACATACTGACAGACTTTACAAGTTTATATAATGCAAAAAATAGATAAGGAACTTCTTGTATTCTATGGTCTTAAAAGTAAAAAAATGCGAAATTATAAGTTCTTATTTATATACATTCCAATATAATACAAAACAATTACAACATTTTCAAATGTTTATGCTTCCTAGAGGGTTTTTTTTTTTTTTTTTTTTTTTTTTTTTTTTTTTAACAAAACAGCATTGTAAATTACAGATATTTCTGAATATTAAATGTTAGAAAATGAAGCTTTTATATTGAGAACCATTCACGACCATGATGAAAACGTCTTCATTTGAAAGATTCATGGTTTGACTTTCGTCATTGCGGTAAACTAATTTAAGGATTTTTCCTGTGTATGATCAAATCTGTGAATATTGATAGAATCTATATACAACTAATTTCTATTACCATGGTTGAAAATAGTGCTTTCTGATTTCGAATAAAACCAAGTATTCTCGGATTAGGAGGTCCAGTGTACATATCTGACTGGTGTGTACTTCTTAAAGAACATTGCATCTTTCAGAAGAGTAAGGGGTTCATTTCAGACCCTATCTTTGTGGAATGTTGTGAACACGAAACTACTAAACGAAATTAAGCACAATGGCGCTGCGATTATAGGTTATTCTCCTGTCACTGTCATCAATATTTACACCAGAGCGGTGTAATTTTATACCAAAGCTACTGTCATACATATAGAAAAAATAATACAATAAATAAATATTAATAAAATGTATGAAAAGAGTAGTCTGACCAATGAGAGGGGAAAAAAAACCCCAATCAAATTAATATAATGGACAGACGGATAGATGGGACATCCAGAAAAATTGACATAAAAATATAAATTTTTGTTACATACCTTAAGTGTGTTAGCCGTTTCTTCATACATGTTTCTGTAAATTACACCGTCGAGACTGTACTGTATTTGGTAAGTTAAAACCCATTCACTATTGGTCGGGTGGCCTTGAGTGATTATACCGAGAAGAAGATGAGGATCGTTGAAACTGATATCTAAATCGACGGATGAGCCTGCTGAGGCTGAATAAGCCCATGCTGTGTCAGAATCCAAGGTTGCCTGATCTACCCCACTCCCGGAAGCACTTACGCTGTCCCCTAAGCCTAGCAACTCATTGTAGCGTCCCCCTAAAACGAATAAAAATAGTATTAGTAGGATAGTTGTCTCAGGATATAACAATGAAAATATATACAAATTTACCTATAAATGACCCACAAAGTTACATAAAATTAATATTGTATAAACATCTATAATCATTCATATCAACATATCGAATAAATTGTGCAAAAATTTAAGAAGTACTATTTTAATTTTTTTTTAAATAACATAGTTATGCATTTTAGTTTGATTTTAATTACTTCCTTAATCTTCGTCCAAATCTTAATCGTCTTGCTATGTACCTCCATTTTACTCATGTTTCCTCATGAATTTCATATTGAAAAAGGAAACACCATGTCTCCGATGTTTGACCAACAAATTTACAAATTAGAAGGTCCAAAAAAGGCCAAAAGAATAATATCTAATTCCAAAGTGATTGATCCATGCTTGGGGTAATACTCTGCTAAACCTCCCCGGCGGACTATCAATCCTTTGATTACAGCTTTATCCCAAGGGCTGGGCGGATTTAGAAAGAGATAATCAGGCTATCCTCCTACTAAACAATTACCAGCCTTTTTATCACTGTGAAATAATCACATAATTATTATATTAAGTAGTAGAGATAAATTGCTTTTAGTAGGTCTAAAGACTATGGAAATATTAACCACATCTGCGTTATATTAATGAGGCAGCCATCATTTTGACCTGAAATTGAAATTAAAAAACATTGTTTGAGCTCTCTTTACAGAAAAGTCCAGGACCCGCCACTGGAAAGGGGTACACATACTCCTCATCGGCTAGGAGAAGCCAAATAATTTTGTCAAAAAAACGGCTCTGATAAAGCATATTTCTGATTTAGATTGCAATTTCTAGGCATTTTGAGGTGCCAATCCATAAACTTTGCTCACCTCATCTCAACCATGATGGGGCTGAGGTGGATATGTATCCCCCACCCCAAACCATATCTCTAGAAATTACTTGACCCGCCCATGGTAAGATGAGTAAAGTAAGGTAAGTAAAGTAAGGTGAGTATTCGGAAAATAAGCTGAGAAAGTTAAGTAAGTAAAGTGTATAAAATAAGTAAATGAGAATTGAGGAAAGTCATTAACCTCCGCAGCCATATATCTCAAAAGCCAGGGATGGTGTGCCAGTCCATTGTATTGGTCTAATGCGAATAAAACGTGTCGACAAAGCCTCAGGAAATTCAACCCACTCATCGTATAATGTTGTCTGAGAACTAAGAGTCGCAGTCTAGATGTAAATAGAAGAAAACAATTAATCAGTGAAGATTATAATCAGGTATATTCAAAAGATCGGCGGTATATTATATTTTGATAAGTTAATAATTATAATATTGTAATAAGAAATAAAACAATTATTATTATAACTAGACTTACTATGTCTGTCTGTACATCTGTACCACAGAACATAGAGCTTTTCCTCAGCCTTGCCATAATGACAAATGATGTTGAAATGGCAACCAAAAAAAAGTAATTAAAGATTTAAAAAACACAAGAAAGACAAAAATACTAAATACTACTAAAAAAAAAAATAAAGTAAGACTTAAAAACAATGAAAACCAATTTCACCACAAACGTGATGTTAGTAAGTAACACTCGAACTATAGCAAAGCGAATGCAATATAGAGACTCCTAACCATTGCGTGCTATATGAGCCGACCCTGTGTAGATCAGTGCATAATTGTAGTTAATAGATTCAGTGGTTGAAAGCGAAAATTGTTCATGCATATCGCAGTAATTTTGCGTTTAACCTAGCTGAGTTAATTTAAACGTTTTATAAAACGCAAATTGGTTTATATAATTAAATCAACTGTCCAATAATTCTGTAAATGGCCCTCACATCAACACCCTACTCCGGATCGTCACTTAAATTTAATAATTTTTTCACTGAACCATGAAAAACTATTCTGTAAAGTTTCATTTATATCATTTGTAAGTCATTAGAGATATTTAGACCTGGGATCTTAGCAGTTTTAATGACCCTGAAATTCACACCCGAATCGCCACTTAGCATTATTAACTACTTCCTTTTAACATGGTTAAAGTTTCCAGAAAGTTTCATTCAGATCAGTTGATCAGATTTTAGGATAGCTGGTCTGAAATATGTATCGTTACATGGCCCTCGTCCACACCCAACTCCGGATCTTCACCAAAATGTTATCATTTCTTAGCGGACCATGACGAACTATTTTGTAAAGTTTTATTTTAATTCATTGGTTAGGTATTGAGATATTTAGGTCTGGGACATTAGCACTTAAAATGAACTCAAACTTTACACTTGACTGTATCGTCACCAACGTTTAATAATTTCTTCCTTGTAACTTTGTTACTTTCTCCAAAGTTTCATTCAATTCATTCTATCCGTTTTTGAAACATCTAATTTCAGATGTTTTCATTTGGTCTCATATCCACACCCTATACCGGATCGTCACAAAAAAAAAAAAATTTACTTACATGACCTTGACAAATTATTATAGACCTTGACAAACTATTATGAAGTTTCACCCATTAATAAGTTTTTAGAGATATTTAGGTCGTCAGAAATTAAAATTTCCCTAACATTTACACTCTCAATTGGATCGTCACCAACACATAATAATTTCTTCCTTGTAACTTGGTTAAGCTTTCTCGAAAGTTTCATTCAGATCAATTGATCAGTTTTTAATAGTCCTCATACTCATACCCTAATCCGGATCGTCATAAAAATTCTATCATTTCCTTTACTTGACAAACTATTATAAGTTTCATTTAACCCATTAATAAATTTTTTAAGATATTTAGGTCGTCATAAGTTAAAATGTCCCTAACATTTACACCCTAAATTGAATCGTCACCAAAACATAATACTTTCTTCATTGTAACTTGGTTAAACTTTCCCGAAAGTTTCTTTCAGTTCAGTTGATCCGTTTTTGAAATATCTGGTCTTGAACGTTTTCCTTTTAATGGTCCTGATATCAATACTCTACTCCGGATCGTCACAAAAATGTTATAAATTTCATTTAGATCCATTGAAAAGTTTTTGGAGATATTTAAGTATAGGACGTTGGAACTTTAAATGACCCTCAAAATTCAAACAAAAAAAATGGATTAGATTGGATTGATTTATTCGATGTAAACACATAGCAGAGCCCACGAAAGTCTAGAAGAAGACTTTTTTTTTCCAGTTGGATCCTTAATTTATTTTAATATTTTGAATAACTTTATACTTATATTTTATGATTTTATACATTTTAAGTGAATTTTCTTACTAAAACAGTTTCACTGCGCATATTCTATAATTCTAATCCTATTATTTGTACAGGTTAGTTTATATTTGAGGCAAAATTTTCTTAAAACGTGGTTCTCATACACCTAAATTTAAATGCTCACATCTGCAGATCTACTTATCCTAGGGAAGCCATTCAAAGACTAAATTAAATCTTATAATGTGATCTACCGAATATAATATAAACTTTTTTGGTTTTCTAACCATGAGACTAATTTTGTGGTGAGACCCACCAAAATATAATATAAACTTTTTGATTTTCTAACCATGAGACTAATGTTGTTGTGAGACCTCACATTTTCTTTGTGAACCTTTTCACAAAGGTGAAGTATTTCTGATAGTGCCTTTTTGTATAAATTGTTATTGTTAATCTGTTTAGCCATTTTGGCCCTGCACATTTCAATATGTTTGCAGTACCGAAATGGCATATTAAGAATAACAAAATATTATCTTTAAAAAAAATATATTTGGTGCAAGCATATAAAAATATAGTTGAATATTGATGTTGCAGTGTATTTTTAAGCTACTCCATTTTAAGATAAAATATTCATAATATAACCATAGTGTGATTCTCAATGATTACCCATAAGGCTCCATCACTTGGTCGTCGTATGTTACGCCACTTGTTGCCATCAAGACTATAAGCGATTGAGAACTCCTGCAGTGCGTTGTTTTTATCGTTGAGGTCTTTCTGAATAGCCACGCCTGTCACAGTTTTTAATTCTAATAGATCAACTTGTATCCATTGGCTCACATCATCAGAACTTGGTGTCCAAACTGTACCGCTATTTCTTCTCGCCGGCTGACTATTTGATGATGCAGTAATTTGAGAGTCTAATATTCTCTCATCTTCCATCCCAAAAGGGTCTCTGCAGAGTTCAAAGGCTGCAGAAAGGGAAATATACTTTTATATATGGCTAGTCCGAACCTCTGTTCTCAATTAAAATTTATAGTGTGGTCTTTTTTTACGTGTATGTATGTGAGTCTGTGCTGTGTTTTCAGTGGTAACACCAGCCATTTACACAGTTAATTCTATTTTTTTTTATTGAAATACATGCTGAAAAGTAGACTGTAGAATAGACGTAGGCTATTGCGACTTCGTGACAAATATCTAATGGAAAAAGTCAGTAAAGGAAGGGCAGATGTGTTTAGAAAAAGTTGGAAGAAAGAAGGGCAGTGGTTAACAGCATATACTTAAGTCATGTTATGTTGTACACATGATTTTCTAAAGACACAGAAAGGGTGTTTGATTGAAAACTGTGGAACGGTTAATGAAATACAGATTTATGAATATTTAAAGACTGGTGGAATGAGTGATTTATTGTTAAACCAATGAAATTTTACCAACTTTTTATTTAGTTTTATATTTGTATTTGTCGATTTGTGTTGTCTTTTGTTCATTGGATGCACCGAATATTCGATACATTCACATGAACAAAATACAATAATTTTTTATTTGTAGTTTTATATGTTTCTGATGTTTTGTTTAAAACTGTTAACTTGGATGCACTAAGTACTCAAGTGCCACTGTCACAATCGTGATTTCAATAAATTGCATTAAAGGTGGAAAAATGTGTTTACGCACTTTTTCTTCAGGTTTTGTAATATTTATAAATCTGTATCCCGTAACTGTTTACTAGCATCCCTTTTTTGTCTTTTAAAAAACAGTTTTACAAGATATTAAACATATTTTCCCTCCAGAGCCTGACTTTAAAAACCAGATGAGAATTTATATAGTTAGGTGCTGTATGTAGGTTTACTTACCTTTTCGTCCAATAAGGTCAAACTTTAAACCAATACCAGCTTCACTATATGCATAAACATTAATTAGGAGGTACCGTGTTACAACAGGTGCTTGGAACATGTGCGTTACTGGTGTTACCGCATCTTCGTTACCTTCAAACAGCTTCAAAGAGGATTTCATAAAAATTTGAATAATCAACAATCATAAAGTATAAAACACTAAACGGAAAACTTGGCAGTTTGACTAAGGTTGCATTAATATAGGTAAAAGGAAATCTATATGGCGTCAATCAGAATACATCTCAAATCTTAAACAACTTAGAGTAGAAAATACAATTGTAATATTGTTTTATCAAAGTTTTATTTTAAGTAGTTTATTTTAGCACTGTATGTTTTATAGCATTCATATCGAAATTGAAAATGACAGACCGTGGAAAATTGAAGAGTGTATTATTGAGTCCGACTTGGTGTCATCCGGGAAATCAAGTTATGATAAGTGCGTTAATAAGAATGTTCAATAAATTATGAAGGACCACCATCCACCCTTGTTATATAATTGTTACATGTTAGATAAATCTGATTTAAGACTAAACGTTGACTACACTTCTAAAGGTACACCTTTGTATTGCAAGAAATATAATATTAGGAATATTGATGAAGTTCAGAATCAGACACAAGAGAAAACACTGTTTTTGTGTATTATGTAGGTTCCTCACACTCAATTTCACTGTTTCCTTCTCACACGTACATATAACTCGGCTTGGAACAAGAAAATTGAAAAGGTTTTGCAGTCCTACAAATTCAAGACAATGGCGCGATATAATTGAATCATGCAAAGTGTGAAAATTAGATAAACTTGGGGTGCTGTAGTTTTCCACAGCTTTCGTCCTGTTGCGTAAAAGCTTTATAATAATAGGTCCATGATTATATTGTAAGCGCAGGCAGTAAGACAAACAATACTAGATGATTTTAACATTAACAACAATGTGCAATGTTAGTAAATCATATAGTATTGTAAGAGCAGACAGTGAGACATATAATACTAGATGAGTTACTAACATTGCGCATTCCAATACACCAATGAGTAATGCACCTATTAATATTCATGTATGTCTAACTAGCTGGTTACCTGAAAGAATAGGTTGATATTTGAAAATGCGATTAGAAAGCAAACTATTTTAGAATTATCAGTTAATATTATTCTGGTTTCATTTTTAAACGAAAGCAGGCCATGAACTTACCTCGTGACGAGGAATAACGGTGTGGATAAAGTCTTGGCCACTAAATTTAATATCAAATGAAGTTACCCACTTATTATCACTTCCACGGACCACAATTCCAAGTATAGTGTAATGGGCCTTTAAGTCAACCTACAAAAAAGTAGAGTGTACATCTAAATAAATGATTATCAAGCCAATTTTAATGTGTGGTAAAAAGCAGAAAGCCCAACAAAATCAATTAAAACATTAAATGAACCTTTCTGCTAAGCTCCGCTCCTTGGATATTGTTGTTAAGGTCTCACAAACAATATCGTAAATGTGCTTAAACACGTGAGTTTGTTAAAAAAACACGTGTGTTTATTGGACATGTACACGCGCGTCGTCCTGGCACATAAAATAATGACCAGCAAATTTAAGGGTCTATGTAAAATCCAAAGCATTTTACACTAGTGAAATACTTGACAGGGTCGGATCCAGGATTATGCAAACAGAGGGTGGGGCACAGTCGTTTGAGAATAGACAAGTAAGTAGCACATAACATTGATATGCATTGAATTTTTAACAATTTTGTGGAAAAACTGGGAGGGGGCACGTGCCCTACTGGATCCGCCCCTGAACTTGGTAGGTTATTGAGGAGTGGCCCCAAACTGACATACCTATCTCCATCGTTGTAGTCTTTACAACACGGTGCAGTGTATTTTTTTTTACACTTCAGAATATCCCCAACAATATCTGAATTGGATAAGCCCAATAATACTTAAATCCACCTTGTTTTTCTTCTACCTCAACTTCTCTATATTCTCCTTCCCCATTGGCAATGGCCTTATGTTTTTAGTTTAGTAATGTCGGACATTTTCTGCAATAAGCAGCTGCAGGAAGTACATATCCATGGTTATTGTTATGATGACGTTTCATCTCGCAGGCATTCACACGATGTCACGTGTCAAATATCTTTTGGCTGAGCATTATTATTTCGCTTCTCAAAAACTAGAAACTATCCAAGCTCAAAAATTCACCTAAAAGCAAACCATTTAGTAAAAGACCTTGCGCATAAAATTGAAAATGTACATGCGTACGGTAAAACTTTCCCATTGGAAATCAGGAGCATTATGGGAATAAACATGTGCATACTCTACCAGACTGTTATCAGTTGAAACAATATTTGAAAATTGTCTAAGGAAGTAGAGCATTGCCAGAATCTCAACATGACCAGATACGCCAAACTGTTTAGTGTTCTGACGCAATTTTACATCCGGCAATTACTTGTTCATTGTGGAAGACTGAATTATGACAAGTGTATACCAAAATTATGTGATTAAAAACGGAGCATTTGCATTTGTGGGCTATAGCTAAACGCTAAGATTGCATTGCATGAATGAATTGCCTGCCTCTCCACTTAATTTATTGTATATATGATTTGAATGATATTGATATTATTTTCTAATTCTTAATTCAGAACCATTAAACAACTAAAACTTTAAACAAATCCATGAAATACCGAGGATCGTACCTTAATATTTTCATACTGTGCCGACGTGGCCGACATCCAACCAGAGTCTAAACTGTAAGTACCCGAGCTGCAAGTAAACACGGCATTTGACATACTGATCTTTGACCGCCCAAAACCTGTGTCCAAAGAAAAAGGTTTTTTAATATTTAATACAGGTAGGATAAAAATAAACATAAGATATAACAAAAAGTTGGTTGGCAGCATAAATAAATTGTTTCAAAAGTAATATTTAAGAACTGAACCTTAGAGGTAATTAAAAAATTAAACTATTAAATATAACTTATTTAACAGAGCGATAACACATGTAATGAAGGAAGACTTTACCATTGTTTATTGCATACACATTTGTCAGTGTCTTGCTATTATAGGAAAGAGATTCCAAATAGATGTCCTGGCCAGGATCAAGATGGATAGGAGTATCCCCAATGGTCAAATTAACATTGATATCTGTACCTGTTATAAATTTTATGAAAAAAAGAAAGAATTACACAGGAGAGTTTCGTCTACGGTCAACAAACAGACCCGACGCGACAACCAATATCGCGTCACGCTAAGTCTGCTTCATACCACCACATTATCACATTGAGAGATGGACTATCATACTGAAAATAATCCATCACATTGACAGGTGGACCATAACATTGACAGGTGGATCATCATTGATCAATAAACCATCAAAGGAACAGGTGGATAGATAGACCATCACATTAACAGGTAGACCACCACATTGACAGTGGACTATCACGTTGAGAGATGGACTATCATACTCTGATAGACCATCACATTGACAGGTGGAAAATCACAATAGGATACGACTCATCATACTGACAAACAAACCATCACATTGAGAGATGGACTATCATACTGATAAACTATCGTATTGACAGGTGGACCGTCACAATGGAAGATGGACTATCATACTGATAGATAGACTATCACATTGACAGGTGGACCATCTCACTGTGAGATGGACCATCATACTGGTAAATAGTATATTTAAATATAAAAATAATGTAAAGCGCATAGAGGTTAGTCTACAATATGCGCTATATAAGTCGACAATAATTATATTATTATTATTAGACCATGATATTGCCAGGTGGACCAACATGCTGTGAGATGGACCATCATATTAATAAAATAAGTATCCTATGCTAATAAATGGACGTCTGTATGGAACATAAATATTGCAGCTTACACAAAACAAACAAATAATGAATAGCTTACCAGTTGCTGTCTTCCACAGAATGGTGGCAGCTTGATTGATTGATGTAGGTGCGACATTGTATGTTGGATTTCTCATTTCAGTCGCCGAACTATTCACAAATGCTAGGCCAGTAATATTATCTTGTATCATTATGGTTATCTAATAAACAATATAAAACAATAACAATAGTTTAAACGAACAATAGTTTAAACGAACACCTGAAATAATAGAAAGGACAGAACAAGTAGAGAGTGCATTGAATTTAAGATGTATGACGACAAAAAATATAAAACCATTGAAGTTAACATGGTTTTTTGAGACATGCAGATTACTAATATTTAACAGAAAATGACATTCGAAAACGTAAAGATTTAGAAAGGATGATCATGAGATTAAAAGCACAGTGGCGGATCAATGAATTAGGAATAGAGGGCGCCGGGGGAGTAAATTTTAAAAATCGAGGGCCTATATCATTCTAACCCCAACATATTTGTGGCTGAGGTATGAAATATTATGTCTATGGCACTTCAAGATGGCAGGAAATGGCATTCTCAGACTAAAGATTTGAATATAATTTTCCTTTTCCCTTATTTTTTTTAAAATTTAAGACTTACGGGAGAGAAGGGGAGTACCGGTTGTCCCGCCCTGCATTAGACTTTAAAGCCCATAGTTTGAAAACGCGATTTTTTTTTGGTCAAATATACAAATATCATCATCAGATAAAATGTTATTTTATCTGATGATTTAAACCCAATGTTCACAATATGGACAGTGGTGACTCCCAAAAAAATTGCAGACAGGGCGTCCGACATGTCCGATGGGGGTCCGAGTCAAAGGGCCAACTAGACCATCGGTCAGGATCCAGCATGAAAGTCCCTTCAGGGTTTGTGAAAAGAGTTTTTATGGCCTAGTATGGTCCAATGTGTGCTTTTAGACCACAATTAGCAACGTTATAAAATTAAATAACGTTATTTGGATAGAAAAACTATTATTTTTTGTCAAATGACCACGTCACGGCGTCATACTACTCTGGGGGACAGGACTGTACGACGCAGGGTTGGAAAAATTCCCCTGCAAATCCCCCCCCCCCCATTATAAATTCATTATAAACACAAATGACACATAATAAATGTGTGGATGAAAAGAATTTCTAAGGGTTATTTAAAAGTGCTTTCAAGAAAGTCAAATTTGACGTCATTGTAGGAAAATATGGGTTATCAAGTTTCTGTAGCATGAAGTGGATGGCATTGTGATACTTCCCCATATGGGACGCTAGTACATCACAGGTTACTCCTAGCAACTTTGCTGGTGTGTAAGCAATGAATATGTAGAAAGAATATCAAGAAAATATATTACACATACAAAAGTAGTCCATCGACTAATGTCGTTGAATGCAGTCAATTTGACAGTGTATGTGCCTGTTGTGTTCCAGCTGTACGAAATGTTGCGTTCACTGGTAAGAAGTTTATCTCCATTTCCGTAGTCAAATTCATACATAGCCTCTACTTTTCCAATATGGTCTGGTACATAGAGGTAAACTACACCAAGCTTTTGAGCTAAAGATAATGATACGGTAGAATTTAATTCAAAGACTAGATGCTGTTGCTTTTGGTAATGCTTCCCCCCCCCCCAAACACACACCCGACCCCAACCTCACCACACACACACACACAACGATTTTCACCCCACTTTCACAGGCATACATATATACAGT